CGCTTTTACAGATAACAATTAATTTTGGCCAAATATAATTTTCCAGGTATGTATAAATTTGGTTATATCTGGCTGTCCACTGCACAAAACCGCATTTGGTCAAATATATACCAACTCTTATTGGAACTTATTTGGAATTTAGTGCAGGGAAGTGTCCTATAAGGAGGCGTGTGCAAATCATACATATAATGATGTGTTTATCCATCGTTGATCATTTGTTCTTGACATTGATTTTGGATAACTTTCTTTCTTAGTTACGTCTTTTTTTGATACTAAACTGAATATTTTGATTGAATATATCGGTTTTTATTTTATATATCAGAAATGGAGAAGTTCGAAATTCAACAACGTTTATTGTGTTCTTGATTATGGAACGAGACTAAGAAAAAAGAATACATTGAAGTAATAATTAATGAAATTAGTGTAAATTTCACTTCTTATAATCAAAATCAACTTGCTCAAATTCGGAGTAAAATTACAAATAACTTTTTACCGGCTTATATTCGGAAATGGAATTCGGTATTTCGTATAAGAAGTCGATTTGAAAAAAAGTATCAACACTTTTTAAATAATGATTTTCAAGTTGATTTTGTTTTAAATTTGTCTGAAGTTGTAGAGGAAACATCAATAGTTTCTAATACTTTTACATCTGTTTCAGATTCAACAGATTTGTCTACTCCAAAAAAAGGTCGCCCTCGTATATCTTATGAAGAATCCTCAGAAAACATTTGTATATCAACACTGAAGGATTTATGTACGCACAAAAAAAATTTGCAAAAAGTTTATAACAATTTCGATTTTTTGTTAATTAACAAATTGTTATATCAAAAAAGGTGCAGGTCTCCGTTATAGTACACTAAATAACAAGTATTTAAAAAAAAAATTCATTGCAATCGGTTCAGAATTCAGCCGTCGGTCGATTTTTGAACACAAAAACCGACTTTATGTCCACCGTGGCGTCGCTGCAACGTAGCATGCGACGAGTTGGCATGTCACAGTGACGTGTTTGCCACGTACGGTGCCCCTGCCTGCACCATACGTAACAGAGACGTGCCATTTTGGTCGCAAAGTCACAGAAAATATGATACATCTTTCGAACGTCGCTATTGCTGATTCACACTGCATCCGATTTTCATCGTACGACGACTCTGCAACCAATCAGAAAAATCGTATCATCGATACGAAGCAAAATTTTGTTTCCTGATTGGTTGCAGAGTCGTCGTACGACGAAAATCGGATGCAGTGTGAATCCAGCATATGACGTAACATAAATAATTTGACTGTTTTTGTTTTAGCTGTTTGTCAACTTTTTAGGATATTGTTGTTTATATTTTAAAGATGAACAATATTTTCTCTTATTTTATCTTTATTTAATAAAATTTCATGTAACACGTAATTGTCACGACGCAAAGACGTTATATAGAATTCTATATTACAATTGTTATATATAAATATATATAATAATAGTTATTATTATTATAATATTTTATTAATACCTTTGCAGACTTCCAACTGAAGCTGATGTCGGAGATTAATGCGAGCCTTAATCTTCGACATCAGCTTCAGTTGGAAGCCTGCAAAGTTACCAGACCGGTATAGTTAATAATCGAAGCTTGGGTGGCCCTTATTATAATAAATAGGTTACACTTTTGAGGCTTTCACGGGTATTTTCTTCAATTATACCAGAAGGTATGCGGGTTATCGCCGTGTCTTTCCTCATTGTTAATGCCAACGTTTCGTGAACCGTACCGTTCACTTCATCAGGACAAGGGGTGCGCTAATACAGCTGTATCAGCGTCAGCGCACTCCTCGCCCTGATGAAATGAACGGTACGGTTCACGAAACGTTGGCATTAACAATGAAGAAAGATACGGCGATAACCCGCAAACCTTCTGGTATAATTGAATAAATAGGTTCGTTCACGTTGCATGAAATCCCTAAAAATGTTTGCTCTTAAAGCAAAGAAAGTAAATATTTTTAGATGTTGAAAAGAAAGAGAACAAAGGTGCTAAGTGTAAAAAGTGTATGTTAAATAATTGATGTTATTGTATTTGGTTTGTTTAACCAAATACAATAACATTCAAATAAATTAGTCACTTAGAAATTTAAACAGACGTAATTTTATTTTGTATGCATAAACTATAAAATATAAATTATATGTTTGTTTTCATGTTTTATATAACGGACAATTATATATTTTGACTATCAAATATTTTTATATGTACATTTAAAACCAATCCTAAGTTCTTAAAATTAGTCGATCGTTTTCCGGTCACAAATAGTACTAAAGTCTGCGATTTATAGAGGTCGTAAACTGTTAACTTAGACCGTAATCTGTAAGAATTGACCAATCACAGTCGAATGAGAGGGGAATATTCGATTGTGATTGATTAATTCTTACAGATAACGACATAAGTTAACAGTTTACAGCCTATATAAATCTGCCTTAATCTATTACATGAAGTTACAAAAACACGTCACCGTAACATTTTTGTCACAAAAAATTTGACATTTAGTCACGTGACAGCGATGGGATTCTTAATTCCCATGGTGGTGACTGGATCTCATTATCGATAAAGAGTTGGTGAGTATCTTTCACCTCAATAAGATCCAGTCACCACCATGGGAATTAAGAATCTCGTCTTTGCTCGTCTTTCTTGACTTTCTTTCCAAATCGCAATTGATCGCAATTTCACTATGGCTGCATGCGTTGCAACAGTTGTATGTATGCTTCAGTATGCTGCCACGTGCTTCATTTTCACTTTTACTTAGACGGCCATATTAAAAATCTGATTACATTACCGACCAAAGCGGCCATATTGATCATTAGTTCGGATGGCCATAACGAGGAAGCCAAAACGCTGTCTCTCCAAAAACAATGGGAAATTAGAGCCCCTGCTTTAGTTGTCTGCACGTTTGTCTCACATAACTTGCATCGCAATTCTTACAAGAAATTTTATAAACAACTCCTGATTTCTTTTCACGCGGCAAAGGATCTTTATGCACTCTAATAAATTCACGCAATTTATTACCACTGTAATACGACACTCTCAAATGACTAGCTGTTGTTCAATCTGTTGAACTTCTCAGTAATACCTCTCATGAAAGGCACGGTGAATCATGTGGGTTGCCCGACTCTGATCATCCATGACTCTCCTTTTATTTCGAGCCATAATAATATTCTTCAAACAGCTATTAATATTATCAAATATAAATTTTAATGGATAATCATTCTCCAATAAGACTTAATTATAAAACAAAAATTGTCAAAATGAAATTTAGGATTCGAAAGTAAAATCACTCTATCAACCAATCCCATCACAATATCTCTCTTGTGAGAAACTGGATGCTGTGACCAAAAATTCAAATATCTACCTGAGAATGTCGGCTTATGGTACTAATCAAACTCTATCAATCCATTATTCCTAATAACTGTAACATCCAAAAAATTCAATCTGTCTTCACCCACCTCCATAGTGAACCGAAGTCTAGGATCCTGGGAGTTATCTTTTTCTGAACATGGCTTAAACTTTTCATTTTTATGATATTATTTTGTTCGGATAGACTTATAAGACAATTTCTTTTTCATCACGCGTGCACATAAAGTGTCCTATACCGCAACGCTTTTGCGCAGAAGAGTTGGGTTAGAGAAATAACTCAACGGCTTAAATTATTGGCTATTTTCCTCACGCAAAAGCGTTGCGGTATATGGCACATTACGTGCACGCGTGATGAAATAGTACATTGTGTAACAAGTGGGGGCTAGTGTTACTCGCTTTGCTCGTGCTTTCGCGCCCTTCGCGCCATAAACACTAGCCTCCACTCGTTACACAATGTACTATTGGCTGTTTTCCGCAAAGCGCATATGTGCGCATTCCCCTATAGTATACGTGACGCTCACTATATAAAATGCATGCATATTGCGTGCATATGCACTTTGCGGAACGCAGCCATTGTAAGATCTCAACAGATTAGGTGAGGGAGACAGCCATCGACATATAGAATGGATCGCTGATGGTAGTGGTGGGGGTAGAAAGACGAGTAGAGTGAGAGGCAGAAATAATATGATCGTTCTTTCTCTGTTTACTGAAGCCTGATTGGTTGTTGGATTAACAGCGACCAATAGTAATCAGTAGTTATCAGTAAACAAAGAAAAAACGATCATATTATTTCTGCCTCTCACTCTACTCGTCTTTCTACTCCCACTACTACCATCAGCGGTCCATTCTAGGCTATATTCAGATTCCACCCGAGTGCCACTCAGATATCCTTCTATCCTTATTGTTTGCCAAATGTTAAACAAGGATGACATGACACCCAGGGAGCACTCGGGTGGGAATCTGAACACGCCGCTATATGTCGATGGAGACAGCGGAAGGCGGAAGCGATTCGAAAATCGGCCGAAAGTTGCATACACTTTATGTACGTTCACTTTGTATTGGCACCTTTAATTAATAATATATCTGTTACTTTTCATGGTAATATATTATTATTAGATAAAAAGGTTTAAATTTTTGAGTATCCTTTTTTGAACATGGCTTGAACTTTTCATTTTTATGATATGATTTTTTTCGGATATGATTTTCGATAATTTTAGATCAGTCTCGAATTAAAGGCATATTGTATGATAACTTCTCATTTTGCTCTGCCTGAAAGCGCGCAAAATTGTCAATGCAGAACGTTGTTAACAAAATATTGTATAATAGTATATAATTATAAATAATACAAACGAAATATAATTATAAATATTAAAATGTTATCGGACTGTTATTGTCTTCGCTGGAGCATGTATCACTGTTTTTCTCATAATCTTCTTCAAACTTAAATAATATCATAGATTCAAAAATAACCACAATATTACATTACAGAACTAGAACAAGTAACATACATGTCAAAATGTAAATAAATTTATTTAATGTTTATTCACTTCAAGCAATAAGGAATAAGCAAAAAAGATACATATCAAAGATACATCAAATTCAAACTGAAATGTATTGCGCTAAATATATATACATTTATTGGCATTATAATACATATTTGTTCCAGAAATTTTTTAGATAATTACAATTAGCGACGCACTTATCGTTGCTTTTGCATGCAATTACGACAGCTTTAACAAGTGGATTATTTAGTTGAAACTCTGGTACGTTTATTCCAAGAGAAGTTGCTACCGTAGCTACGAGGTTTCGGCAGACTAATATTCGGCTTTTGCACATAATAATCCCATCCCATTTTCTTGCAATGTGCAATCGCCTCGTCTTTTGTCGCAAAATCAACTTTCATGTTTGACATAGGATCTCCACTGTATCAAAAATACATAAATATTAATATTATACAAGGTGTCCAGAATTTAAATGTCAAAATTTAAATGTCAAATGTTCTTTTATAGATTTATTATCGATCTATCAATCGCTTATAATAATTTCTTTATCTTGGTGTTGGATGCATCATTTTTTCATCAATGATTTTTCTATACGATGTTTTTCTGTTGGTTACTTCTGAAGAAAACTCAATCCACGAGTCGAAACATGTAAAGTTTTCTAGATTTTATTATTAAGCTTATTTTTATTTTTGTATTGATTTTGTTCTTGTTTTTCATATTTATGTACACACATTTATATCTTCAATTTTAGTCATGTTTTTATGTGAATTTATATTACTTCTTTTTATCTTTTTACTACGTTATTAAAGAAAAATTTTTAATTTTTTGACTCTTAATTTGTCTTTTTAGTTTCTTTTTATGTTTAAATGTCAAAACTTCAGGAACGAGTAGGGAATCAATAAACTGAAAAAAACATCCCTGTAAAGATTTGTTTGTTATTTTTGGAGAAAATCACAAAAAAGACAAAACTTAATTGCTTCGTTCTTACACTGCCTTTGAAGTATTATCGTCACTAAAATCAAAACAATAATAATAATTCTGTTTTTAGATGAAAACTTTTTTGTTTGTTTACATTTCTGCCTTTCTCCTATAAATTCATAAGTTACTCTCTTATTAGAAACTATCAAATGAATTACTCCTGTCACAATATACCGCGTAAGGTAAATGTACCACTTCGTGGACATGACTCAATTGGACAAATTGTGACAATTTTAAATATTAAGCTTTTGATGATATGTGTTACTATAAATAAATTTTTAAGCAATTTTTCATATTATTTAGAAATTAAGTATTATATAACTTATTCATATTAAAAATAATAATTTTGTAAAAAAAATTTCGTTTATGGACAATCGTCCATTTATTAGGACATTCACACATATGCGTGTATCAATTATTGGACATTCCTTAGCATACCTGTCTACGGAATGATTAAAGAACATATTTTGTATATATTACATATAAAACTTTATATAAAACTTCACTAATTACAATCTCGATAAACTTTTTTATACAATCTTGATTGATAAGTAAGTAAAATGCGATTCTCTTCTATAATAAAAAAATTACTTATTACTTGTCCATTGGGTCATACTTTTGTGGACATAGAGACACGTTACATTTTTCGTCGAATAATTACCCCTGTGAAGCTAGCTCCCCATTATTTAAAAAAATAGTTCTTTTTGAGAGTTCTGAATAGATTTCCAATAGTTCCAGAGTTCCTGATAGGTTTAAAAAATAGTTCCGTTCGAGAAAGTAAAAAAAAATGTCATTGAAAAACCAGAAATTGTCACCTAAAAAACAGCCATAACTTTGAAAGTGTTATTTTTACGCAATTTTCTCATTAAGATATTTTATAGAACTCTGTGGGGGCTATCCAGAACTTTCGACAGAACTGTCAAAATCCTTCAAAAAAATTTTTTAGTCTTCCAGATTGGAAAATGGACACCTATAATCGCTCGTAACTTTTGCAGTTCAAATTTTACGAACTTTTGTCATTAGGATTTTTGACAGAACTTGGCGGGAGCTACCCAGAACTTTCGACAGAACTGTCAAAATCCTTCAAAAAAATTTTTTAGTCCTCCAGGTTGGAAAATGGACACCTATAATCGCTCGTAACTTTTGTAGTTCAAATTCTATGGATTTTTGTCAATAGGATTTTCGACAGAACTCGGCGGGGGCTACCCAGAATTCTCGACAGAACTGTCAAAATCCTTCAAAAAAATTTTTTAATCTTCAAGATTGGAAAATGAACACCTATAATCGCTCGTAACTTTTGCAGTTCAAATTTTACGAATTTTTGTCATTAGAATTTTCGACAGAACTCGGCGGGAGCTACCCAGAATTCTCGACAGAACTGTCAAAATCCTTCAAAAAAATTTTTTAATCTTCCAGATTGGAAAATGAACACCTATAATCGCTCGTAACTTTTGCAGTTCAAATTTTACGAATTTTTGTCATTAGAATTTTCGACAGAACTCGGCGGGAGCTACCCAGAACTCTCGACAGAACTGTCAAAATCCTTCAAAAAATTTTTTAGAATCGCTCGTAACTTTTGTAGTTCAAATTCTATGGATTTTTGTCATTAGGATTTTCGACAGAACTCGGCGGGGGCTACCCAGAACTCTCGACAGAACTGTCAAAATCCTTCAAAAAATTTTTTAGTCACCCAGATTGGAAAATGGACACCTATAATCGCTCGTAACTTTTGCAGTTCAAATTTTACGAATTTTTGTCATTAGGATTTTCGAAAGAACTCGACGGGGGCTACCCAGAACTCTCGTCAGAACTGTTATACATATATTATATAATTGTTTCAAAAGTTTTTTTTGAAGAGTTCTGACAGTTCTATCGAGAGTTCTGGGTAGCCCCCGCCGAGTTCTGTCGAAAATCCTAATGACAAAAATTCGTAAAATCTGAACTGCAAAAGTTACGAGCGATTATAGGTGTCCATTTTCCAATCTGAAAGACTAAAAACATTTTTTGAAGGATTTTGACAGTTCTGTCGAGAGTTCTGGATAGCCCCCACAGAGTTCTATATCTTAATGAGAAAAATGCGTAAAAATAACACTTTCAAAGTTATGGCTGTTTTTTAGGTGACAACTTCTGGTTTTTCAATGACGTTTTTTTTTACTTTCTCGAACGGAACTATTTTTTAAACCTATCAGGAACTCTGGAACTATTCTAAATATATCCAGAACTCTAAAAAAAAATATTTTTCGAAAATGGGGGGCTGCGTGAAGGTAGCCCCCCATTTTTTAAATCGCGTTTTTATGGCTTTAATGGCCAGAACTTTTTTTTAAACTTATCAGGAACTCTGGAACTATTGGAAATCTATTCAGAACTCTCAAAAAAAATTGTTTTTTTAAATAATGGGGGGCTAGCTTCACAGGGATGAATAATTAGGACATTTGAATCATATTATATATATGACTAATGTGACGTGACATTTTGTCAGTCACCCAGAAAAACAGCATAACGCGAGATCCTGGGTCCTTCAGGGTCAACGGGCGAGCGCACAAGCGAATGTGCGACATTATTTATTATTCTTATTTCTTTTTTGCGATTATTGTATTACTTAATTTTATTCTTTTTCTTGCGATTATTGTATTATTTTTCTTTTTTTCTTCTTGTCGCTATTTAGTTAAGTTTTAGTTAATATTAAGACGATCCTGAGCTCGGATTTTGCCGGTAATTCACGATCAGAGCCGGTGGCTACGCTGTATTCTTGTGTTCGGCCGCCTCACCTATCGCTAGAAGAGAGAAGACGTCGCCTCCCACGAGGAAGAGATTGCTGTATGAAGAATTTGGCTGAAGTCACGAGAAGCGCGGCACACGCAGGTCGTATTATTTCATATTTGTTATTAATGTCGCTATTATTTGGTGGATTATCGCACCCTCATTGCAGACGCCTCGGAGAGAGACGTCAGCTGGGAACGGACTCAAAGGCAGAACATCCGCCGAAGCATCGTGTCCCACAACGATCGATGGAAGATCGTCAAGCGACAAGGAAGCATTTTCGGACTTTTGGAAAAGCGCGCCACAGCGTAAAAGGATTCGCGACACGCAAGGACCCGCGGGATTCGTCGCGGGGTCACGCGGTCGCGGCGAGCCAATTAGAGCAAGCAGAGGCCGATAAGAGAGGGCCTGACGACCTGCGTGAATCCGCGGAAACTTCCGATCGGCACTTGTGCAGTGACGGACCTCGAGTAAGGACGCAGGATCTCGCCCATAATTTGGCAGGAATTTCGAGAATATTCGTCGAAGATGAGCACTGCTATCGGCTCTCGTACAGACTTTGAAGGAAGCGGCTGAGGAGGAGTATCTTGGTGAGGCGAGCGTTATTCGTTTTATTGTAAAGCCACCGATCGCGTAATCTTTTGTGAGCGTCTTGAGCGGATCGCGTGTGAGAATTTACGCGGATTTGATTCGGTCGATGTCGTACCGGCAAAGAGTAACGTTATTGTTTCTGTCGATGAGCGCGTGCCATCCGCTCGAGCGTAAGAGTTCGTGAACTCAGGATTGTCGTTATTGCTCGCCCGTGTCACTGCCAAGTCATATCGTTCGTATTAATTGTTGAGATTCCGGTTTGTTTAAGATTAGAGTCGAGCCACGTGTCACCGCTCAGCATTGGGCTGTCGGTGTGCTGGAAGTTCTTAGAGTCGAACATTTCTAAGTACCGTCGTCGACGACCTTGCCATTTTACTTTCTGTAATAAAGTAAACTTGTCATCGACGCGCGACCGCGGTGTTCTGTAAATTACGTCAGCTTATGTATCGACGCGAATTGAATAAATAGGAAATTCTTTGTTATTGTTAATATTAATTGCTGTCTGATTATTTCTGTCTGCCTCTACCTCGTTCTCCGACATTGTTTCCCGCACATCGCGAACCACCCCCTCTACCAATTTTGTTGGCTGAGCTAGCTGAGCCTGTCCGTCGCGAATTCCGTTGCTCTGTAATTTCTTTGTCCGAGCGTAACATCTTAATATTTAGTGCGAAGAGTGGCACGCTCTCTCGTGCCTGGCGCCCAACGAAAATTAGTACGGCTCGAATATCGTAGCATATAAAATTTAAGGAAGAACCGCACTTTGCTAATTACATTATTGTGTCCATCTTTTGAGCTATCGCGTAAAAAGAGCAGCGGATGAAGTGACGAAGTTGTGTCGTTCCTCAAAAGTACGGTCACACTAAATACAATTTATAATAAACACTGTTAGATACGCGCCTACAGTATGCTAATTAAATAAGTGCGCGTTATAGCACCACGTCTTGGGAGTACGCGCGAGGGCTCCGCGAATCAGCGTGCGACACGCGCGCGTTCTTACGCGAGACGAAATTCCGGTAGTGGAAAACAAAAGAAGATTCGAGAACATCGAGATCGCCGGTCGTGTACACGCGCACTGCACATAACTCGTAATA